CAGCAGTGCACAGGGCTCACCCAGCGGGGCTGTGTTTCAGGTGGTGAGGGCTGCAGAGGAGGCCGCATCCACGCTGGCCAGCTCCATCCACCCAGAGCAGTGCATCAAAGTGCTCTGCCCCATCATCCAGACGGCCGACTACCCCATCAACCTGGCCGCCATCAAGATGCAGACCAAAGTCGTTGAGCGGATTGCCAAGGAGTCCCTTCTGCAGCTCCTCGTGGACATCATCCCGGGCCTGCTGCAGGTGGGTGCCCCATGTAGGGTGGAGCCCAAGGGGAGCTGCCTCCACCAGGCATACAGGAACATCTTCCCGGCAGCCAGGACCTGTGGCTCGCAGAAGGAGCTTCCTGTTTACTATAAACGCATTTGATCATCCATTTTTGTTCGTTCAGTGAGCCCTCTTGCATGTCTGGGAGCCCAGACATGGCTCCCAGCCCTGGGCACAGCGGCCGTGGACAGACTCAGATTGCTCATATGTCCACCAGATATTTACTCACTGAAGCCCTTGTAAGCCTGAGGCATCGAGTTAAATAGACTCTGGAAGATAAAAGGTGTTTTCTTCTATTCCTCAGGGAGTTTTCAGCCTGCTGTGGACCCAGCAGACAGACAACGTTGGGGACACTCCATTTGCTGAGTCAGTGTTGGGGAGGTGCAGGGGGAGGGTCTCAGAGAGAGAGGTCTCAGGAAGAGGGGGAAGTCAGCTTTACATTGAATAAATGCTGCTTTTGCTGAGCACTTGGCTCAACACACAACTGAGGACTGGAGGTCGCAGGCCGAGGGAAGGGTGCAAAGGCTGGAAAGCCCTGAGGGCCATGGGGAGGGAGCCAGGAGGCCTGTTGGGGTGTGGCGGGGTAACGGGGGTCGGGGGCCCAGCTGAGGAGGATGTGACCACGGCCGTGGGCTGGCCATGGACTGGACATGCCCCAGTGGCCTTCGCACGGCAGGGAGGTTACCCACAGGAGTGGGCAGTGCCTCTCTGCTTGCTTTGAAGGGGTTTTCACATGTGCGGACTGCTTTGCTGCTGGGAGCAGTGTGAGAGAAGCCGGTGGTTTTTCCGTTAATTTTCCTTCTCTCTTCTGCGTCTCACCTCATGCTGTGGCTGAGGCTGCCACGCCCTGGTGGTGGCCTGGCCTCCTGCTGCTGCCCCTGGGCGTGTTGAGTGTGGCCTCAGGACCCGGAGGAGCGCAGGTGTGGCCCCGTTGCCACCACCCACGCATCCATCCAAGTGGAGCTGGGAGGGGGTTGGTGGGACTGTTGGTGGTCGCAGGCTGTGGGCGAGTCCTCCTGTCCCCTCTGCCTACAGGGCTACGACAACACGGAGAGCAGTGTACGCAAGGCCAGCGTGTTCTGCTTGGTGGCAATTTATTCCGTGATTGGAGAAGAGTTGAAACCTCACCTGGCGCAGCTGACGGGGAGCAAGGTATGTGCAGCGGGCGGGTCACAGCCCCCACCTCGTCCACGCCCGGGTCCTCCTGGGCCTCTTCTCAGGTGAGAAGACCGACAGTCCAGGGAGTCACTGGGGCACTGTGCGGCCGTCCTTGTTAGCAGTGACAGTGAGGACGTTCACTCATCATCCGCGAGGGTCAGACGGTGGGCCCTCCACCTGCCCTGCCGGTCCGGGCACTATGCTCTCTGCCAGGTCGACTGCTGCTTCTGTGCTAGCGCCCCTGTGGGAGGGGGGACAGTTAGCCTGCGAGTGACCTGCCCAGGGCACCCCAGGTCTCACTCCAGAGCCCGGCTTCTTCTTCCTGGGCTGCTTGTGTTCTTTTAAGGACGCTCTAGAGTCAGGCAGAGCATGACTATTGGCTCCTTGAAGATGAGTGTGGCCAGAGTGCTTATGGGTTTAAAATAACCTCAGACCTGAGAACAGGCCAAGCACAAGCAGGTGGAGACCCCTGAGCTCTGGCAGGAGAGGCAGGGCCTCGGCCACACCCAGCCGCCCGCTGGAAAGGCACACCCCAAAGTGGAAGTGCCCAGCTCCCTCCCTAGCAGAGTCAGTTGGCGCTGCAGCGTCCTCGCGGAGAGCTGTTCCTGTTACCAGGTCCAAACTCGTTCTGCTCACTGCACAACAGGCCAGTAAATTGGGAGATGAGGTGTTGGGGCAAGGAATAGCAACTTTATTTGGAAAGCTGGCAGACTGAGAGGACGGCAGGCTAATGTCTTGGAGAACCATCCTGTAGGCTCCTTTTATACAAAAAAACAGGGAAGGTGGTGTGGTTTGTTGTTGCAAACTTCTTGCTGTAGGAATTCTTTGTTCCTGCAGCCGTCCATGTGGGTCAGGCCATGGTGTCCCTGTAAACCTCCAACAAAACAAAGGTTATTCTCTATTTTGCAACTTGCCATCTCTACATAAGTGCAGAAGTGCTGACATCCTTAAAGGTCAGAGCCCAGAGAATAGGCTCTTCTGTATATTTCAGGCTAAAGGCAACATTGTTTCACAGAAGGTGCAGAGCTAGCCTAGGCAACAGGGCACAGTGGTTAAAACTAAAAGAACAGATCCAATATGGAGTCAGATTTGTTCCTCTATTACATTCCTTTAACACGGTTGGTGAGCATCCCAGCTCAGGAGCTCTGGGCAGCCTGGCTATGCTGCTCTGCAGTGCGGGGCCTGTGGCCGCTCTGCTGTGTGAGCCGGGCCATCCCGTCCCATGTGCTGTGGGAGGTTGGCAGCACCCCAACTGCTGCCTGCAGGCCCATGAGCCACCGCCGTGGTGTCTCCACATGTGGCCACACGTCCCCTGGTGGGACCACTGGTGAGCAGCTGGGGGCGGTAGTGAGTGAGGGTGTGCATGAGTGACTGGGGCTGTGTCCCTGGAGCCCATTCTCTCCTCTCCTGCCTGGCCCTCACCCGGCCCTTCCCTGACTGTGTGCACAGGTGCTTTGCTGGGCCAGGAAGACCCCTCTCCTGCCTCCATCAGGACTTGCAGGCAGTTCCTGGTGGCAGCAGGGACCTCCCAGACAGTATTCACAGAGGGACAATTCATCCAAAAGTGATAGCGGTCAGAGCTTGGTTCTTCTGGCCCTTTTTACTCTCCTGAGTGAGGGAGCTGTACTGTGATCTCACGTGACCCCTCCTTAGGGGCTGAGCAGGTGCGGGGGTCGTCTCACCGCTGCTCTTCAGCCGGAGCCCCGCGTCCTCCTACCCCTGCACGACTTCAGTCTGCTCAGAGGGCTCAGGGAGGCTGGCCTGACACCTCTCTGCTTTGGGACCCCAGTTCTTCCAGCCATTGCAGTTTGTAGATATAATAACTCGGCTGTTTTAATATGAATCTTGTAGACTGAAATGCACGTCTCCTAAAACCAGCAGCCCCCTCACCCCAGCCCCCAAAGTGGGTAATTGATAGAAGTTCATAAATGGTACTAGCCTCTGGAGAGAGAGGCCCGACACAGGGCTCCCACAGGGCCTGTGGGGTGCACGTGACAGGTGCTCACTGCCAGGGCCGCAGTGCCAGCTTTGGGGTCAGGATTCTGGTCTATATGAGCTTGAACAAGCTTTCTTTTCTATTCTTTCTCTCTTTTGTAAAATACGTGAAACAAAATTTTCTGTCTTTTCTACCATTTTTGTGTACTGTTCACTGGCACTGAATACAGTCATCTTGTACAGCCATCACCACCATCCATCTCCAGAGCTCTTTTCATCTTGGAAAACTGAAATCCATTAACTAATAGTTCCCCAGTCCCCCTCCCCCAGCCTTGGACTTTGTGTGTGTGTGTGTGTGTGACCACTGCACAGTGTCTGTCCGTCTGTGATGGCTTATTTTGCCCAGCGTAGAGTTCTCTAAGGTTCATCTGTGCTATAGCAGGTGCCAGAATTTCCTTTCTGTTTGAGCCTGAATATACATAAAGCATTCCACATGTCCACTTCTCAGTAACAGACATGTGAGCTGTTTCCCCTTTTTTGGCTTTTTGGCTGTTAGAAACAATGCTGCTGTGAACATGGGGGCACAGACATCTCATTGAGACCCTACTTTTAATTCTTATGGGTATGTGTCCAGGAGCGGAATTGCTGGATTATGTGATAACCACCGAACTGTTCTCCAGAGCGGCTGCACCATTTTCCATTCCCACCAACAGCACATAAGGACCCTCCCCAACACCTGTTGTTCTCTCTCCTTTTGATGGTAGCCTTGCTGATGGCTGCTGTGAGGTGACCTCTAACTGTAGTTTTTATTTGTTTCCCTGATGGTTGGTGACATTCAGATTCTTTCCATGGGCTTGCAGACCAGTTGTGTATCTTCTTCAGAGAAATGTCTCTTCGGGTCCTTTGCCCATTTTTGAATTTTGCTGTTTGTTTTGTGTTGTTGAGTTGTAGAAGTTCTCTGTATATTCCGGATATTAATCTCTTGTCCTTTGATGCACAAAAATTTTTAATTTTCATAAAATCCAAGCTCTTTGTTTTTTTGCCTGTGCTTTCGGTGTCATATTAAAAAATCTTGTCAAATCCAATATTGTGAAGCTTCTAACAGTTTTATAGTTTCAGCTTTTAACGCAGGTCTCTGATCCGTTTTGAGTTGATTCTTGTGTGTGGTGTTAGGTAAGGGTCCAACGTCACTCGTCTGTTGTATGGATATTCAGTTTTCCCAGCACTATTTATATGTGAAAAGACTTTTTGCAAAGAACCTCATTGGGATTTTGATAGGGATTTTGTTGAATCTATATCCAGCTTTGGGTAGTATTGACATCACAGCAGTATTGTCTTCCAGTCCATAAACATGGGATGTCTTTGAAGTCAGGACAGTATTGACCTCATAGCATGAATTCAGATATGTTCCTTCCTCTTCAGTTGTCTGGGAAAAAATGGAGAAGGATTATGTTCATTCTCTAAATGTTTGGTAGAATTCACCAGTGAAGCCATCTGGTCCAGGGCTTTTCTTTGTCAGGAGACTCTTGATTATTGACTCAATTTCTTTACTAGTTATAGGTCTGTTCAGATTTTCTCTTTCTTTGTGATTCAGGCTTGGTGTTTGTGTTTCTAGGAATTTGTTCATTTTGTCTGGGGCATCTGATTTGTTGGTGTACAGTTTCTCATGGTGTTCTCATAATCTTTTTGACTTCTGTACAGTCAGCCATAATGTTTCTGATTTTAGTAAGTTGACTCACCCACATGTGTTTCTGATTTTAGTCATTTGACTTGTCTCTCTTTTGATAACTTGTCTAAAGATTTGTCAGTTTTTTTTTTTAACAGAACCAACTTTAGGTTTTGTTAACATTTCTCTTTTTTGTTCCACTTATCTCTGTTCTTTATTTTTGTCATTTTATCTTTATTATTTTCTTCCTTCTGCTAGCTTGGGGTTTAATTTATTCTTTTAGGGTTTTTTTTTCTTTTTTTAGTTCCCTAAGGTATTAAGTTACATTATTGATCTAGGTCATTCTTTTTTAATATGTGTTCATAGCTATGAATTTTCCTCTTTGCACTGCTTTTGCTGCATCCCATAAGTTTTGGTATGTTGTATATTCACTTATCCCAAGACATTTTCTAATTTCCTTTGTGATTTCCTCTTTAACCCATTGGTTGTTTAAAAATGTGTGGTTCGGTTTTTACAAATTTGCGAATTTTTTAGTTTTCTTTCTCTTACTGATTTCTTACTTCATCTGGTTGTGGTCAGAGAAGATACTTTGTGTGGTATCTTTTTAAATTTATTGAGACTTAATGTGTGGGCTGACATACAGTCTATCTTTGGAAGGTCTCATGTGCACTTGAGAAGAATGTATATTTTTAGATAGAGTGTTCTGTATCTGTCTGTTAGGTCTAGTTGATTTGTTGTGTTGTTCAAGTTCTCTCAAGTAGAGTATTGAAGTCTCCCAACTATTATTATAGAGCTCTTTCTCCCTTCAGTGTTGTCAATGTTTGCTTCATATGTTTTGATGGCATGTTATTAGACGTATAATTGTAAATGTTATAATTTCTGGCTGTATTGACCTTTCATTCATCTATAATGTCCGTCTTTGTTTATGGGAACCTTTTTTGATTTAAACTCTCATTTGTCTGATCCTAGTGTAGCTGCCCTGTGCTCTTAGTTACTATCTCTGTGGAATATTCTTTCCCATTCTTTTACTTTCCACCTGCTTGTGTCTTTGGGTCTAATGTGAGGCTCCTGTAGACAGCATATAGTTGTATCATGTTTTCATTTCTTTAAATATATATTTCCAATCCCTGTCTTTTGGTTGGAGAATTTAACGCATTCACGTATAATCACTGATGAGGAGAGACTTCTGTCATCTTGGTGTTTGTTTCCTTTCTATATGCCTTGTAGCCTTTTCTTCCCTCATTTGCTGCATTACTGTTTCCTTTTGTGTATGTCTGCTTTCTGTACTGAAACATTGTAATTTCTTTCTCACTCCCTTTTGTGTGTGTTCTGTGGCTGTTTTCTTCCTGGAGCAGTAGCGCTCTGGTCTGAATTCATACGGCTCATTGAGCAGGCGCTCTGGGCCCTGGCCTTTTCATTTGTGAAACAGCAGAACTGTGCTGCTGCCTCACAGGCGCGTGGCGAGGCTCGAATACGATCCTCGGTGTAGAGCTTGTAAACTGCGACGTGCACACGCATTGTCCACACGCATCGCGCACACCGTCACCTTCTCTTCCCTGTGCTTGCATTTGTGCTCTTGACCCAACTGGCTGCACACATGAGGGGTTCTGGGGTGCAAATAACTATTAACAATGTTTAGCAACTCATTTTTATCCAGCTTTATGTCTTGTTTTCTAGATCATTTTTTTTCTTTCTGAGGGGGAAGTAATTAGGTTACTTCATTGATTTCTACTTGGAGGAGGTACTGGGGATTCAACCCCTGACATCTTGGGTGCTGAGCATGCGCTCTACCACTTGAGCTATACCCTCCTCCCTAATTTTTTTTCTTTAAAAACTCTTCGACTCAACAAATACGTGTTGGGGACCTGCCTTCTTCACACTATGCTGAGGCCCGTGGGAAAAGCAGAGACTTATCCTGCCCCAAAGTGGCATAAAACCCAGCTAGGGGACAGGACTGGCCCCTGGGGACATGTGTGCGGCAGCCGAGAGTGACCCACCAACCACGTGTGCAGACGCAGTGTGGGGTTCTAGAGCAGGAGGCAGGGAGCACTTCCTCGGAGGAAGTGGGGTGACCTGGTCCGGGCTTGGCAGGACAGGGATGCATGGACAGGGACAGCGTGAACAGCTTGGGTGGCAGGAGGGGAGGTGCTGGGAGGATGCACTCCCTGAGCAGGGCCGTGGGAGGGAGCGGGCGCACGGGGCAGCTCCGTGCAGGCGGCAGGGGCGTCCATGGGCAGGAGTGCGTGGGGCCGCGGATGGTGGAGCCCCGGGCTGCAATCTCCCCACCGTGCAGGGGTCTGCTCCAGCTCCGGGCAGGGGCCGTGAGCAGCAACAGCCGGTGAGTTGTTGGGTGGGAGCCCTCAGCCTCTGGCCGCTGTTCCTCCGTGGCCTGGCGTCTTCCCTGCTGCCTGCCTTCCACCCCTGCTTTGCTCACCGCGTGTCTTCTCTCCGCAGATGAAGCTGCTCAACCTGTACATCAAGAGGGCGCAGACCACGAACAGCAACAGCAGCTCCTCCTCCGACGTCTCCACGCACAGCTAGGGCCCGCAGCCGGCGCGACGCCTCCCGATGCCCCAACCCGCCCGGCCGGGCGCGAGGCCCGCGGATGCTCATTACAATCAGTATTTTGACCCCTTCCAGCCATTGTGTCGAGTTGCTGGTGCGCGTATAAAGGAAGCCAGGCCTGTGTTGCGTCTTCGCACAGAACAGAGGACGAGGACAGACGAGCCCCTGGCCCCATATGCAGCCTGCTGAGGTCACAACCCGTGTAGCTGCGGGCTTGGAAACTGTGCAGCCCGCTCTTGGTAGAAAGTAGCGTTTCCTCTTCCGTTAACGACAGACGTGAGGGTGTGTGTCTGTGTTTCTCCTGCGTCGGGGCCCGTGTGGGGCGGAGCCCACCTCACAGCTGACACCGTGAAAGGGTTTTGTGTGTTTTAGGCTGTTTTGAGACCTACTGAGAATGTGAATCATGTCTTGGCAAGAAATGGGTAAAAGCCTGACAATGGCCTTGAGCGAGCGTGTGGGTTTTGCTTCAGTGTTTGACCTGGAGGCTGACGGCCGCAACTCTGGGTTAGGAGGGCACCTCCTTCGGCAGCTCCTTCCAGGACAGGCTCCCAGCCCCCCGAACACCTGCGCTGCCGCCGTCCCCACTCCCGACTTCCACCTGGAGGAAGTTTAGTGTAAATACAAACACAAAACCAAGGTCAGTTGTAGCATCACTTCATTTCACAACGATACAGGAGCAGTTGTCTGTTTCCCTGCGAGGGTTTGGGGGAGCACTGTTCTTACAGTGCTTGTCTAGAGACCCTGGCATGTGTTGGCTCAGGTGTAGGGCCGTCTGTTCCTCTCCCCATCGTGGCCTGAGCCGCTCTGTTCTAACGTGTTCTTGGTTCATCTGGTAAATGGTGGCTCTGCCACCTGCACTTTGACGTCTCTGTTCAGCTTGGGATTGAGATCAAAAAGAGCCTAGAGAGACCAGAATCAGAATAACTTTTTTTAATTTTAGGGAGTGAAGCACTTCCTTGATCATCTGTTGAAATAGTGTTTAAGGAAAATAATTATGAGTGGCGAAAAACAGGAGTTGAAACAATTTTAGTCTTTCCTTTTCTTCAATGAGAAAATTACCCCTTTAAAATTTTTGTTGAGGGTTTCATTGCTCCATAAAAGATTTAGAGTCCAATTAACTAAATTTTGGGAAAAATTCTTAAAGCCAGGTGGAAATTCTTAGTGCAGTCACGGAGTCTTCGCCCGCTACTGTTCCGCTTTGGACCCTGGAAGCTCACACAGCTCAGCCTCCTTGCCGTGCCGGTGCCGGGTACTGAGGTGTCTGCGCTCCCAGGGCGGACGGAGCTGCCAGGATGTGGCTACTCACCTCCCAGCCCCAGTGCTGGCCACTGTCAAAGACCCCATAGCAGAACGTAGCTTGTTTTCACTCAGAATGTATTTTAGGTCTCAGCTTGGAGTAGGCGCAGAAGTGGAGGTGGAGGATGAGTGAAGCCAGAGTGCCTTCCTGCACCCGTGTGCGTGCACGGGGGCGGGGGTCTCGCATGTGTGGGAGGTACCCCACTGCTGCTGCTGAGGGAATTTAGGGGTGCATTTGAGGTGGTTAGACATTGTTAACTTCTTTTGGGCTCAGAACATAGCAGGACCAGGCCTTACTTCCACTGACAGACACCATGCGTGGACGTGTCTCAGGGGGACTTCTCTGTCACCCTCTTCGAGCGAGCAGAGCGCCTGTTGCTCACCCCTGTTGTGGAGCTGTGGGTCCTTCCTGCCCAGCGCGCTTAGAAGGACTTTATCCTTTGCCTCCCTGACGCTGGGTCACCACAGCCCACCCAGTGCTGGGGAAGAACGGAAGAACCTTGAACTTGGCCAGACGTCCCCCTGGTGTGCTCACCAGGGGCTAGCCTGCCCGTCCGTGCCCTCCACCGCCCCCCAAGAGCTGCCTCCCTCACTCCGGGCCCAGGAGACCCGCATGCCGCCTCCCTGCAGGCCTCCTGCTTGGATGAAGCCGCAGAAGTGACGAGCAAAGCACCCAGAGCTGCCTGCCTGCCGCGTTTGCCCGGCTGTCCAGGGCCGATCACCCACCGGGGCCAGGTCGTCCGGCCCTCCTGCCCTTCAAGCTGCTGTCGCCTCTTTCAGGCCGAGGGGGAGGCCGGCAGCCTCCTGAGGACACGTGTGCTGCGCCTGGCCGGCCTTGGCCGCCCCACCGCTGTTTGTCTCAGAATCTCTCTCTCCCGGCGCCTTTCTTTACCCAGCATCACACACACAGTAGAGAGCCGTGGTAAGAACTCGGCAGGGCCCCACCAGGACTGCACTCACGCTGACGTTCGGGGACAAAAAGGGTGGTCTGGAAGGGGTCAGCCCCCAAAATGGCTTTGTCCGCGCTGTGTTCACACGCATGGTCCCCACGCCCCGGGTTGGGTTTTGTTTCCTGGTTTTGTTTTTTGGGGCTTTCTCATGTCACATCCATATCTGTATTTATATCTTATTTGTTTCACTCTCAAGTATCATGGCAAATGTACAGATTTTTTTTGTTAATAATGTGCTAGGATTTGCTAAAAAAGAAAACAATACAGAAAACCTTTTGAGTTTGCCCTAGAATAAATGAAACTCACTTTGGTTTCCCGCATTGGCCAGCCTTATGCCGCCGTGCCTGGAGGTGGCTTATGCCGAGCTCTGAACAGGCCGGGAGTCTGAGGAGTGGGGGGCTGTGTTGGGGAGCCGAGAGCTCGGCAGGTCGGACAGGGAGGAATGCAGGGTGGCGGGGTGCCTGCCCTGAGTGCTCAGGGGCCCATCTCACCTGGAGCCACAGGACCGGGGTCTCCTTGGATTCTGAGACAAGCCGGGGTCTTCCCTGCTGCTTGTGACAGGCGTCAGGGAGCTCCGGAAAGGGCACAGCCCGCACACGGGAGCCAGGACACAGGGGCAACAGTCGCTTCTCGGAGCCTGACTTTGGTCAGAACAATTTTGAGGCTTCTGTCCTGTCCCGAGTGCATCTCCATATCCCAACCTGGTGACCCAGAGCCCCTTCCCCTGTGGCCCACTGCCTGCTCCCCTGTTTGTCACATGGCCTCGGAATGACACCAATCACAAGTCCCAGGCTCTCCCCGGTCCCCTCAGGCGAGTCACAGCCCGTCCTGCCTAAGGGTTTGCCTTTGTAAACTGGAGCACAATCTGATCTGCCGGTGGAGGTGCCGGGAGGGTAACTAGGCCCTGGAGTGGACGGGGCCCACGCAGGAGGGTGCGCGCAGTCGGGCATTAGTTATCCGGCAGCAAACTTGGAAAAGCCCCGGCACCCTGCGTCCGCTGTCTACACTTGCCAGTCGCCGGTCTTCATCCCAGGGGCCTGCCCTTGTGGGGCCGCTGGCCTTGGGGTGAGGTCTGACATGGGAGGATCTGAAAGGTCTTTCCTCCAGAAGAACTCGCGTTTCCCCTCACACAGTGTTGCTGTCAGTCCCAAAGCTGTGGGACTTCCCACTTCCCCACTTGCCCACTTCCCCTCCGGTCTAGGGTGGCATAGGAGGCGTTGACTGGCAGCATGAATAGCGTTGGTGAGGCACTTGGACCCTCGAGGAATTCTCAACCTGTAGCATTTTATTGATGTTCACAACGGCCCCAAAATGCAGACAAGGGATGCGCCATCGTGTTCGATTTCAGAGTAAGGGGGCTGAGAGCACGGAGGAGCCACGACTGGACCCCAGCTCCTGCCTGTGTCAGCCCTGCCTGCCCATGCTTCCCACATCTCTTCTGACATTGCAGGGCACATTACTGATGCTGCGAGTGGCACGGGGGTGGGGGGGAGCACTCTGGCAGGGCGGACCAGGCCCCCTGACAGATTCCCAGCTGTGCTGGTGTGCGGGGCAGGAGAGCCGCTGAGCTGGTGTAGAGCATTTTGCTTCCGAGCCGACAGGTGGGCAAGGGAGGGGGCTGAGTGGCAGGTGGTTTGGTCCCAAGCTTTGCAGAAAACAGAACTGGGCTTGGGGCAGGGTGCCCCGGCCAGTGGGCTGTCCCTGGACCAGATTTTGGGAGGAAAGGATAATTGCAGAGGGAGCAGGGCATCTCGGGCCACCAGGGCATCAGGAGATCACTTCCCACAGAGCCCCCGACCAATCTGCCGGCCTCTCCAGCTTCTCTAGGATCATTATCTTGTACTTCAGGGGTTCCAGGAGAGAGCAGACCCAGGTCACGAGAATGGGCACCTGATCTCAGAGGTTGTATTCAAAACATTGAAATGCTTCCACGCCAGTTCCCTCCTCACACTGGGCCGGCCGCCAGCACCCGGCCCAGAGGTTGACTAGGTCGGGCCCTGAGCCGCTCTGGAGGGGCAGCCTTCCAGGGCAGGTTCCCAGTGGCTCCGGGACCCCTTGCCTCCCCCAGGGGCCCTGTTGGGGGTTGGAGGGTGGCAAAGAGGGAGCAAGGGCCATGGCCCCAGCCCTGGGCCCAGACAGTGCCACCACCTGCAGCCTCCGAGCACCGCCTGGCCCCTCCACCTGGGATGTCTGGAAGATTCCCCGGTGTGCCCACCCCAGCGCCCCTCCTCTGGGCTCCCCCTGGTCCGCAGGCCGGCCCCTCCTCCAGACGCATCACGGTGTTCATTTCTGTTTTGACAAATACATGACAGTTGTAAGATTCTAACGTGAGGGGAGCTGCATGGAGGGCCCACGGGCATCTCTGTACTCGCTGCCTTTGCAGCTTTTCTGTGATTCTGTACTTACTACAGAATTAAAAGGAAATAGAGGAATGACACTCCCTCCCAACAGCCCTTACCCCTCCTCTGCCCACGCGGTGGGAGAGGGCGCACCCGTGGGCTCCCAGGTGCGAGCTCGCCTGTGAGAGGCCACGGGACAGGAAGGGGGAGAGTGGCCTGCACGTCCACTTCTGCTGATCTAACCCTCCAGCCCCTCCTCAGCCTCAGACCCCGGGCCCCCAGCCAGGGCGTTCGCGCCCGCCCCACCTTCCCACACCTGCTGTGCCCCACGGCCATGTTTTATTTCCTCTAACCCCAGCTTCCTTCTCCACTCCATGTGGGAGCCCCAGGGCCACCGAGGGGAGTGTTTCCACGCCCAGCTTCGGAGCGGGTCTTCCGAAAGTATGGCTTCACTGCCCAGATGCCAGGCCCTCATCCTGTCCCACCCAGCCCTGCGCACCCCTGTGGAGTGGGCCTCCAAGCCTCCACTGACCCCTCCATCCTCCCTCCCTCCCTCCGTTCCCACCTGCACAGCCTTGGGGGGCTGCTTCCAGTCTGCCCCACCGAAGGTTCATGGATGTTTTTAAAAATACGCTCATCTGATCTATCACCTCTACTTTACATTTGCAGT